AAAATTTATATGTATAGATAAGTATCAAAAAAAAGCATATGAAAAGATACTCAAAATCATTAGTCATTAGAGACTGCAAACAAAACCAATGATTTACAACAATATATGTACCAGGCCCTCCTTGGTGGCACTGCGAGTTAAAGCGCAGCACTAAGACGCTAAAAGCCACTTCAGCATGAGTTCGATCCCTGCCAGCCCCGGAGGTGACCACATGGCTCAGCAGACCTCTCCTGACCCGCCCGCTGCTTCCCTCAGCAGTGTACTTCGTCGATCTGCCTGTTCTGCTCCCCACTCTGTCTCTGGTGAATCCTCTCACCCACCGCATCTCTGACCTGTACCCCAGTTCTGTACGAATAAATAAATCTTTAAAAAAAAAAAAAAAAAACAATATATGTACCAATATATGTACCATAGGGTAGCTGAAATATTTTAAATTGACAAATGCAAGGATATAGAGCATTTAGGCCTTTCATACACTGCTAGTAGGAATACAAAATGGCACAGTCACTCTAGAAAGTTAGCAACTTCTTATAAAATGAAACATATAATTATGATTAAACTCAGTAGCTGTACTCTTAAGTATTTTTTAAATTTATTTAGTTATGCATACAAGAACTGGAAGTGTGGGGAGCAAAAGGGTTCCCCAGAGGCAGAGTAGGGAACAGAACAGGCAGATCCACTGAAATACACTGCTGAGAGGAAGAGTCTGCTGTGCCATATGGGTCATTTCCCTGGCCAGGGATCAAACTCATGCTGCAGCGGCTGTGGATAGCTTCACAAGTGCTGTGCTTTAACCCGTTGAACCACCCGGGAGGGCCCTGTACTCTAAGTATTTACCCAGGAAAAATAAAAACATATTCACAAGAAGATGTATATGAGTATACATAGAAGCAATATTTATAAAAGCCAAAATATTGGGCAATCCCAAATGAACAATCAACTTCTATATAAACTATGGTATAGCCATACATATACATTCAGTAATAAAATGATTACTTAGCAATAAATGAAAGTCACACTCAGCAATAAAACTACTAAAACATGTAACATGGATGAATTTCAAAGCATTAAGGTAAGAAAGCCAGCTAAAAATATCACTTACAGTAGAATTCCACTTAGAGTTCTAGAAAACACAAAACTATTGTAAAAATAAGATGAGAGGCTTAAAGGGTCGAGGAGAGAAAGGACTGACTGAACATCAGTACATGAAAGCTTTTTAAGTAATGAACTAGGCTCTACAACGCTACTACAATCACATTTTAAATATAAGTTAAAACTCATCAATTATATACTTAAAACTGGTCAATTTTATTGCAGGTAATTAATAACCCAATAAAACTATATTTATTCCCAAAAAAATGATATACAACAAAAGAACCCTAACTAGCTAAATTAATACAAACTTGTGGATATCTTTACCTTCACATTTTGATATCAAACTCTTTAGAGAATCTCAGTCAAAATTATAAATATAACAAGCTCAAATTCTGAAAAATAGTGAAGAGGTAACTTCATCAGTCAGAGGCTCCCACATATCTACCTACGTCATGACATTCACATCTATGTGAACAATACACTTAACATTTAATAAAGCATGCTGACAATTTTAGTGAGAAGTTTTCAGTCAGAACACAATTTACTAGAATTCAAAAGCAGAAGCAAAACTACCCTTACTTTTTTAAAAAACCCACAATAGTATAATTCAATGAAACACTCAATTTAGAGTTCTGGATACACGAATCAATTACTAAGAATTGTTTATAACCTATTTGAGAAATTTCAAAGAAAAAATCCTCAGTCTCAGTAATTTCTCATAAAATTTCATTTCAAAATGTTATATGGTTACAACACATATGTTCTTTTCTACTTAATGTTAAAACTCTAAAAGAACAGAAGTAAAGCTATTACTAAGGGTCTTTGTTTATAACCTAGCCAAAATGAGCTTTCATAATTCTGCCTACCTAAATGTTTTAAAATAATTGAATTAATTCAACTTCCCTGTGTGAGAGTGTGTGTGTGTGTGTTTAAAAAAAAAAGAGAGAGAGAAACAGGCAAAAATTTTGAGGGAATAAATAATTTCTAGCATAGATAGAAATAAGAGTATATATTCAGGCCAATCTTTTATATAATCTAGTAACCAGTGTTTGGCAATGAGCTTTGACTATAAACATGGTATTTCTCAGAATTCTAAGAGAAGAACACAGCAATCCATGAACTCAAAGTGGTGTTCTAATCTACAAAACAGTATGTAACAGTGATTCCCAACCTGGACTCAGGACTCAAGCCTAGAGTATGGCATGGTATCTGAAAAGATAAATGTATACGGACTGCTGTCTATAATGGTGATAACCAACTTTTTTACCTGCATCTATTTATTATTGTGGTTAGCAACAAAAAAATCACTGAAATACATTTTATTTCAAAACAGAGTAGTAGTTTAACACAGCACATCTTTCCAATCAATATAAGACCATTTTGATGTGTAACTGCATAAAATTTTAGTTCTTAAAAAGGAGTCCTCATGGCCCTTCCCT